ATTTTTATTTTTTTGCTATTCATAAATTATATAATTGTTAATGTATTTTTTTCATTTTTATCCTTCAAAAACTGAAGTTTATTTTCAGTTTTCTGTTATATCATATATCATATAAAAAGGTTATTATATTATCAATGGTGAACTAACAAAAGAGGAAGAAGTAAAATTAGTGTAATAACATATTGATTTAAAAAAGTGGGTTAGTGGTATAATATAGACATACATATAGTGTAGTACTACCAAAATGTAACATATCCAATTAATTAACTATCAATTGAGATTGTACGTAATGGTGTGCCATACAAACTACCAATTAATCGCTCTTTTCCCTCTCTTTTGATGTGCCCTATTCCCTCTTTTTGTGTCTGCGCCCTTTCTTCTCTAATATTGTCTATTGAGATTGTACGTAATGGTGTGCCATACAAACTATTTATACTATTTTTAGATTGATTTTTATTATTTTTCGTAACGCATAATTCCATTCAATATACATTTCTTATAAATGATTTATGTATGACATGACAATATTTGTTAAAATATTTAGAACGTGTTATATCAATACAACATAAGCTAATATTGTTGTGTTCACATGTGTATACTAATCAAATTCAGAATCACAACAAATATAATTCTATTCACCGGATAAAACAAGTCTTCAATTAACCAAACCATTACATAACAATGTACGTATAAATGGATTTAAACTCAATAAGCAACAACGAAAATCAACATGCAGAATCACACAACACAAAACAAAATCAAAACAAACAAACGTATAAGCAAGAACAGAAAACAACTCTTCATCTCACTTCCTCTCTGTCGCATGAGTATTGGTAGTAGTAGAGGTTGGAGCTGAAGAAACGTGTTCTTTGTTTCCTTCATCAGTACCAAGCCCTAAAGTGTGCTTAACCGCATCAGTAGCTCCCATAGCCATTTGCTTCACTTGCTCACCGGTTTGGCCCAAGATCCCACCGGTCTTGTTCTTACCAGCTTCTGCAGTCTCCTTGGTATATTCTGCTGCATCTTGTGCCTTGTTCTTAATTGTTTCTCCTGTCTCTGACATGTAGCTTCCCGTTTTGTCCTTGGACTCTTGAGCTTTCTGTTGAGTTGTTTGTGCGGCTTGAGATGCCTTGTCTTTAGCTGCTTGAGCTGTTTCCTGGGTCTTTTGTTGGGCTGATTGGGCTGCTCCTTGAGTTTTGTCCTTAGCTACATCTGTCTTCTCCCCCATCGTTCTCATAGCTTCCCCTGTTTTCTCCTAAGATTCGATATTGTATTTAAATGGGACAAACGTTAATAAAGTAATTAACTTACATATCTAATCAGTCGATACAAAAATACGAAATCAGATAAATACTTGCCTTTTATAATGAAGTTACACATTATAGTAATATCATCAAAAAACCAAGCAATAGATTGTTTTATCAAATAACACGCTATATCGTATAATAGTGGCTTCACTCGTTGTTATTTTTTTACCTAATTAAGAACATCATTTTATTTTATCTAGAGTTTTTGCAAAAATGTTTTAAACTAAATCATTTACGAAATATTTTAATATTGCATAAGAAATCATTTAGTACCTGAGTCTTGCCTCTGGTCTCACCAGCTTTGAAACTCTGTTCTTGATGAGAAGCCATTTTCTCTCGTCGAAAAATTCGAAACCAAAATATTTAGTGGAAACTCGAAAGGCTGATTGATGATCAAAAGCTGTTATCAGAACCTGTGTTGGAAGATATCTCCGACTCTTATGTTTGAGACATTTTATAGCAAGTCTTGGTCGGCCCGAGAACAAGATACATGTTGCAGATGTCTCGACACGTGTGAAGCCACGCGTCGCGATTAGGTTAGCGAAACGAAGTTCGAAACTTGGAGTAATGTGCGAGTGTTGAATGTTAGGTTATCTTGTTTTTGATGACGACCTATGTAGAGGTGCCACGCCATAATAAAATAATGTGTTACGGAAGATGCTAGATACGTGGCGAGTTACGTACATGGATTTTATTTACTTAATGCATTACAATATTTATACAAAGACTTAGGTTGTTAGACCAGCGCCGATGGTGAAAAGTTTTTAGAAATATTTTATCTAATATAATATTATTATTTTTATGTAATTTAATTAATTAGTTAAATTTTAAATTATAAAAACAAATTTCACCAATAAAATAATGACACATTTCACAAAAAAATTTTAAAATTTTATTTAAATCTTTAAAAAAGAATTCATTATTTCTCATCCTTTTTTATTTTTTTATTTTTTTAATCATAACAACATCTTTAAGAAACTACCATTAGGGTAGTTTTTTTAATAAGAAAACAAAAACTTATTTTTACGCTAAAATTTGTTATTCAGTCTCTGCTACTTTGTTATTTGGAGACAAACTCTGTTTTAAACTATTTTCATTTTTCGGATTCAGTGATACTCAGATCAATAAGAAAAGTTATATGAGTGAAAAACAAAATCTTGCTTTCCATTTTATTATTCAAAATATTTTATTATTATTATTATTAAAAAAAAGAAAAGTTCGGATTACAAAATGAAATAAAACAACATAAAATTACTAGTAAAATTTACCACGAAGCACGACTTAGACCATCATGCAATATGTAGATTTGAATTCAGATACAGACACATCAACGACACTATTACAAACCTCTTGACTATGTATACATGTTCTTATCCGATTATAATCATCAATGACTTTTTTTAATGAGAATTTGATTATGTAAATTTTGAATCATCACTAATAATGTTATTTCATCAATAAATTTCTGTTTTATTCTATTTTCACCACCGTTTACATCTAGTAGTTGAATCTACCAAAAACATTCACTTAACACGACGAATCAAGACCTGATCCATTCAGGTCCAGACTTAATCGGAACCGAATTTATAAACTAGGTGCAATAAAACTGTCCAAGTTCGGATATGTCTTTATCAAATTTACCTTTGGAGTTCAGGAGAGTTTCTACTTTATCCAGATGTTCTTTAGAAATGGTTCAACTGCACCAGTACACAACAGATCAGACATATTTCTTGATGCTTCCACTTTCCATTTCCAGCACCAAATAGATTAAATAGGATCATTGAATTTACTCTTTTTGATTTACATGAACCAGCTTGCTTGGAGACATTCTACACAGACCAAGTACTTCAAAGAAAACACAAATTCATGTCCAAAATATTTAGGTACAAGAAACTTCACATTCTCCATATTTAACAAGACCGATGTATAATGGTCATTTTACTCAATAAACTTCGATTAATTTCACATTTAAATTGTTTTTCATTTATTTTCTTTGTTTAAGCTTGTAAAAACGTATCTAGGAGAACTATATAATCTCGTAGGATATAATCTCAATCATCAATTCCCTTGTAATATTCATGAATCATTTTATTAATAGTCAATAAATCAATTTGTTTTTTTTTTTTGAAAATGTAAAATTTATTCATCAAAAAATCTCTTTACAAAGAATGCTTATTTGGTTCTAAAAAATTGAAATCAAAACAACATTAGATTAGAAATTTGTGCTAACTCGACTCTGAAACTTTAGCGGGTGGAGAATCACCAAGTTAGACCATCATCGTATCTGGTACCACTTGTCATTCGGATGGAAGAAACTCTGTTATGCACTCCCTTGTCGATAAAGTGAATTAGCTGTAGAGGTGATTGTGGTTGATCACTATGACCTCTTCCATTTCGCTTGCGCCAAATAGTGTGTACTGCCAGTTGGAAGACGTATCTGAATAGTAGAGGGGTTGAACTTAGCGTTGAGTCAGAGAGGAGAAGAACCAGACTATCCCAATCTGTGGAGAAGCTATCGATGAGTAGATTGGACGCAAGATTGGTCCAAATCAAATTGTTTTCTTTTTTAAAGCTTCGCCTTTCTGTTTTATTCTCTAATGTTCATAAGTGCAATTATTTGATCTTTTGTGTTTTTGTTATTTAGAGTGTGTGTGAATCAAACCACTTTTGGTCATGGGAGGAAAGCCTTGATCCATGCGAGGAAAATCTCTTAGATCAACTCCTTTGTCCATTGATATATTTGGACCTGACACAATCTTCATCCATCAATATATCAACATTATCTTCATCCATCAATATATAATTTTAAATCTTTATGTGCTATAAGTTTGGTGGCTTCTAATCTTACATCAAATCTCGCATAGGAGAAGAGATCGAGCAAGTTTTACGACTTCTTTGCTTCTAACGATAAAGAAGACAAATGTACTTAGTGATGACAGAAAAAGTTCCGAAATGTAGAAGAAACTATATGGCTATTATCATTTAATCTTGATGGTGAAGTTACTGTGCTTTGGATACAAGTTACACATGTAGAAAACAATTTAGAACTCTTTAATTTTTAAATAATTTGAAAATAAAAGACCACAATCTTTAAAAAAATTCACCATAAATAAATGATGTTGGAAAAAACCATTGATATAGAAATCCAACAAAAAAAATTTTAAGAAAGAAAAATATAGATCATATATTATTAGATTATCATTGAAATCTAAAAATTTATATTAAGAAATAAAAAAATGAACACACAGATTTTTGTGACATTTTAGATGGAAAGTGTATTAAAGTGTTTAGACAAAACTAATAAATTAGTAATAATAAGATAAAAGTTATAAATTCATTAAAACATATATATATATATAGGGTATTCTTGTGCATCTAATATAATAAGATCTATGGATTGTGTTCCACCCAATTAAGTTTTCTTTTTTTGCTGTAATTTTTCAGTTTTGTGAAGTAATTAACAAATAATATTAATTGTTTTAAATAATTATGCCTCTGATAAAGATTTTGTATTGAAAACATTTTCCACCCAATTAGTGATAGTAAGATTTCTAACTTAATTTAGGGATGTGGTCTATTTTTTCCCTAAAAAGCAAATAAGTAAAGACTTATTTGTTGTATAAATATACAGTGTCTTGCCTTACCTTCTCTTATATTTTCCATCTCTCAAAGCTTCCGAGATAAATTAAAAAATACAGTTGAAAAACAAGAAATTCTTCTCGTCAAAAATGGCATCTGGTATGTTTTTTCCTTGTTGTGATTATTCATGCTTCTTCCATAGTTATCAAAATTGCTCGACTATTTACTCGTTACATATTTTCTGCGTGAAACTAATTCGTAAATTTACGTATGATAACCACATATATATACAGGGAGTAGAGTTATGAACAACGTGTACATTGTTGAGCCCATAGGAGTTCATAAAGCCACTATAGTCTGGCTGCACGACATCGGGCTCAAAGGCGTCGAGTAACACTCTCACTGTCTCCCATGCTTTGTTTTGTATTGTTTTATTTGCTCTCTTTTTTTCCTAAAATATATGCTCTTTTGTTTTCAAAACTCTCGAATTTTGTACATTTCCTCTCTATTTTCTTTTCTTGTTAGATAATAATAAGTTTGTTTCACTAAAGTTGTATATACATTACATATTATACACACTATATATATTTTAATTAATCTATTATGTATGCAGCTCAGTTCAGCCTCTGCAAAGTTTGGGTCTTCCCAATGTAAGGATCCATACAGATACATGTGTTTGCCATGAATTTAATTTCTTTTTATATATAGCCACAATGGAAACTATGAATTTTCTAATAAAAATATATGATTTGGCATAGATAAAATGGATTTGTCCGACTGCTCCTACACGCCGTGTTACTTCTTTGGGTGGCGAAGAAACCACTGCATGTACGATTAATTGGCTATAGATATACATATATTATTTTGTTTCTTCTAAATCAGTATTTGATGTCTCTAAAATATTACTAATTAAAATGGAAAACTAATAATACAGTATTCATAATCCTTTATGGTGAATCAGGGTGCGATATCACAAAAGTTTCAGAGAGCATGCATCATGATTTTGAAGCTTTAGATAATGTGAATTCATTTGTTGCTGGCCTTTTCTCTTCCGAACCAGAACATGGTAATTCGGAATTATCCACACTTAACATGCATAGTTTAGACTATCTATACATCAAATACATATATATGATTAAATAATTAATACTTTAATGTTGATTTTGGTATAGTTATTAAAGGTGTGGGAGGTGTCGGCTTGGGTGCAGCACAAGCTCTCTACTTTGCGAGTAACTATGCCTTTGGACGAGTCACCATAAACCTAAAAATTGTTGTAGGGATCAACGGTTGGCTTCCTAGCTGGACGTAAGCTCCTCAAGCCCTGATGTAGTTTTCTCACAATATTTTATTTAACTATTCGTATATACCTTTTAATAATGGAATACCAAAATCGATCAATAATCTTGTAGGACCTTACGAAACGATATGTATTCTGCCTTTGGGACTTTTGTTCGTGCCGGATCGCTAATCTTACTTACATATGGGACTTGTATGTCTTATAATAAGTTACATTATATATATGTCTTCTTTACAATTTAAGTTAGTATTTAAAAAACGAGATCATGCTATTTCTTGGTTTTTGTTGTTGTTGTTGTGTCACTTGCAGCTGATGATGTAGCTTTCTCAGCATTTGCACGCATCTGCGCTGACTCCCTTCACTTGGCTGGATTTCCAATCATTCACAAACAATGCGGAGGGTCTATATTCATAAATTACTTTATTTATTTCACTTATTTATTTTTTTTTAATTATTACCATCTTTTAACATATTGTTCTTCTCTGAATTATGTCATGTGCAGGGATCATGTCATGAATGATCTTCGCGTAGCACTCCCGCAATATCTTAGGCTCTGATGAGGATATTGCTAAACTCTGCATCCTGAAAAGAATATGGAATAAAATTATCGTAAAACTTTAGCTTTTATTTTTATTTCTTTGCTATTCATAAATTATATAATTGTTAATGTATTTTTTCATTTTTATCCTTCAAAAACTGAAGTTTATTTTCAGTTTTCTGTTATATCAATATATCATATGAAAAGGTTATTATATTGTCAATGGTACTAACAAAAGAGGAAGATGTAAAATTGGTGAAATAACATATTGATTTAAAAAAGTGGGTAAGTGGTATAAATAAAGACATACATACAGTGTTGTACTACCAAAATATCAATTGTAACATATCCAATTAATTAACTATCAATTGAGATTGTACATACCTACCATATATCGCTCTTTTCCCTCTCTTTTGATGTGCCCTATTCTCTCTTTGTCTGCGCCCTTTCTTCTCTAATATATATTGTCTATTTAATGGTGTACCATACAAACTATTTATACTACGTTTAGATAGAGTTTTATTATATTTTCGTAACGCATAATTCCATTCGATATACATTTCTTATAATTGATTTAAAGTATGACATGACAATATTTGTTAAAATATTTAGAACGTGTTGTATCAATGCAACATAAGCTAATATTGTTGTGTTCACATGTGTATACTAAATCAAATTTAGAATCACATCAAATACAAATCTATTCACCCGATAAAACATGTCTTTATTAAACCAAACCATCACATAATAGTGTACGTATAAGCGCATTTAAACAATAAGCATCAACAAAGATCAACATGCAGAACCACACAACACAAAACAAAATCAAGACAAACAAACGTACAAATCAAGAACAGAAAACAACTCTTCATCTCACTTCCTCTATGTCGCATGAGTAGTGGTCGTAGTAGTAGAGGTTGGAGCTGAAGAATCATGTTCTTTGTTTCCTTCATCTGTACCAAGCCCTAAAGTGTGCTTAACCGCATCAGTAGCTCCCATAGCCATTTGCTTCACTTGCTCACCGGTTTGGCCCAAGATCCCACCGGTCTTGTTCTTACCAGCTTCTGCAGTCTCCTTGGTATATTCTGCTGCATCTTGTGCCTTGTTCTTAATTGTTTCTCCTGTCTCTGACATGTAGCTTCCCGTTTTGTCCTTGGACTCTTGAGCTTTCTGTTGAGTTGTTTGTGCGGCTTGAGATGCCTTGTCTTTAGCTGCTTGAGCTGTTTCATGGGTCTTTTGTTGGGCTGATTGGGCTGCTCCTTGAGTTTTGTCCTTAGCTACATCTGTCTTCTCCCCCATCGCTCTCATAGCTTGTCCTGTCTTCTCCTATGATTTGACATTGGATTTACATTCAAGCAAAGGTTAATAGAGTAATTAACTTAAATATGTAAATAGATTGTGGCTATTGTGTTATTGTCACTCCTATTCAACCTGTCTCTTTCTTATTATTTCATCATCTGAATTCCAAAAAAAAAAAAAAAATCAGCATAGACACATTGGTTGTCAACAATCTTTTGTTGTTATATTATCTAATCATGCAAAAAACAGACCTATGCTTTTCTTTATATAAGAAAAGTTACTCATGAGAAAACATGTTTTCAGAAATATAAAGAACAGACTGTTTTATCAATTAAAGAACACGATACGTCGTAAACTAGTGGCTTCATTCATTTTTCTTTGACCTAACTGACACCATTTTTATTTACTTTATTAATTGAAAAAATATTATTGTAATATAGCAGGTGTATCATTTAGTATACCTGAGTCTGGCCTCTGGTCTCACCAGCTTCGAAACCCTGTTCTTGATGAGAAGCCATTTTCTCTCGTCGAATAATTCGAAACCAAAATATTTAGTGGAAACTCGAAAGGCTGATTGATGATCAAAAGCTGTTTATCAGAACCTGTGTTGGAAGATATCTCCGACTCTTATGTTTGAGACATTTTATAGCAAGTCTTGGTCGGCCCGAGAACAAGAGACATGTTGCAGATGTCTCGACACGTGTGAAGCCACGCGTCGCGATTAGGTTAGCGAAACGAAGTTCGAAACTTGGAGTAATGTGCGAGTGTTGAATGTTAGGTTATCTTGTTTTTGATGACGACCTATGTAGAGGTGCCACGCTATAATAAAATAATGTGTTACGGAAGATGCTAGATACGTGGCGAGTCACGTACATGGATTTTATTTACTTAATGCATTACAATATTTATACAAAGACTTAGGTAGTTACGTTCTTTAATAAGAAAACAAAGACTTATTATTACGCTAAAATTTGTTATTCTATCTGTTGCTCACCTCTGTTTTGGAGCTCATGTATTTCTATTCAGTAATCAGTCTCTGCTACTCTGTTATTCGGAGACAAACTCCATTTCAAATTATTTTCTTTTTTTGGGTTCAGTGATATTCAGATGAATAAGAAATGTTATATAAGTGAAAAACAAAAATTGCTTTCCATTTTATTATCCAAAACATTCCATCATTATCATTACCGAAAAAAAAGTTGGGATTACAATGTAAAACAAAACAACATAAAATTATTATAATTTACTACGGAGTACGACTTAGACCATCATGCAATATGTAGATTTGAATTTAAATTGAGATACATCAACGACAGTATTACAAACCTCTCGACTATGTATATATGTTCTTATCCGATTATAATTATCAATGACTTTTTTTAATGAGAATTTGGTTATGTAAATTTTGAATCATCATTAGTAATATCATTTCATCAATAAATTTCTGTTTTATTATATTTTCACCACGGTTGTCATCTAGTAGTTGAATCTACGTAAAACATTCATTTAACACGGCGAACCAATACCTGATCTATTCCGGTCCGGACTTAATTGAAACCGAATATATAAACCAAGTGTAATAAAACTGTCCAAGTTCATATATGTTTTTATGTGGATCAATGCAAATTTACATTTGGAGTTTTGGAGAGTTTCTACTTTATCCAGATGTTCTTTAGAAATGGTTCAACTGCACCAATACACAACAAATCAGGAAAATTTCTTGATGCTTCCACCTTCCATATCCGGCACCAAATAGATTAAATATGATCATTGAATTTATCTTTTTGATTTACTTAACCAGCTTGCTAATTGGAGACATTCTACACAGACCAAATACTTCAAAGAAAACACAAATTAATGTCCAAAATACTTAGGTACAAGAAACTTCACGTTCTCCATACTTAACAAGACCGATGTATAATGGCCATTTTACTCAATAAACTTTGATTGTTTTCCCATTTAAATTGTTTTATTTATTTATTTTGTTTGTTTAAGCTTGTAAAAACGTATATAGGAGAACTATATAGTCTCGTAGGCTATAATCTCAATCATCAATTCCCCTTGTAATATTCATGAATCATTTTATTAATAGTTAATAAATCATTTTTTTTAAGAATGTAAAATTTATTCATCAAAAAACGTCTTTACAAAGAATACTTATGTGGTTCTAAAAGATTGAAAAAATTGAAATCAAAACAATATTAGATTAGAAATTTGTGTTAGCTCGACTCTGAAACTTCAAATTAGATTAGAAATTTGTGTTAGCTCGACTCTGAAACTTCAGCGGATGAAGAACCACCAATGTTAGACCATCATTGTATCTGGTACCACTCATCATTTGGATGGAAGAAACTCTGTTTCACACTCCCTTGTCGATAAAGCGAATTAGCTGGAGAGGTGATTGTGGTTGATCACCATGACCTCTTCCATTTCGCTCACGCCAAATAGTGTGTACTGCCAGTTGGAAGACATATCTGAATAGGAATAGAGGGGTTGAACTTAGCGTTGAGTCAGAGAGGAGAAAAACCAGACTATCCCAATCTGTGGAGAAGCTATCGATGAGTAGATTGGACGCAAGATTGGTCCAAATCAATTTGTTTTCTTTTTTAAAGCTTCGCCTTTCTGTTTTATTCTCTAAAGTTCATAAGTGAAATATTTGTTCTTTTGTGTTCTTGTTATTTAGAGTGTATGTGAATCAAACCACTTTTGGTCATGGGAGTAAAGCCTTGATCCATGCGAGGAAAATCTCTTAGATCAAGTCCTTTGTCCATTCATATATTTGGACCTTAAAGTGTATTATTTATCAACATTAACTTCATCCATCAATAACTTTAAATCTTTATGTGCTATAAGTTTGATGGCTTCTAATCTTACATCAAATCTCGCATAGGAGAAGATATCGAGCAAACTTTATGACTTCTTTGCTTCTAACGATGAAGAAAACAAATGTATATAGTGATGACAGAAAAAGTTTCAAAATTAAGAAGAAACTATATGGCTATTATCATTTAATATTGATGGTAAAGTTATTGTGCTTTGGATACCAGTTACACGTGTAGACGATAATTTAGAACTCTTTAATTTTTAAATAATTTGCAAATAAAAGACCACAATAAAAAAAATCACCATAAATAAATGATGTTAGAAAAAACCATTAATATAGAAATCCAACAAAAGTATTTTTAAGAAAGAAATATATAGATTATATATATATATATATATATATATATTATTAGATTATCATTGAAATCTAAAAACTTTATATTAAGAAAGAAAAACTGAACACAGATTTTTGTGACATATTAGATGGAAAGTGTATTAAAGTGTTTAGACAAAATTAATTAGTAATAATAAGATAAAAGTTATTAATTCATTAAAACATATTTGATGAGGTGCTAAGTGTTTTCTTTTATTTTATATATATATGGTATTCTTGTGCATCTAATAGAATAAGATCTATGGATTGTGTTCCACCCAATTAAGTTTTATTTTTTTGCTGTAATTCGTCAGTTATGTGAAATAACTGACAAATATTATTAATTGTTTTAAATAAATTATGCCTCTGATAAAGATTTTGTTTTGAAAACATTTTCTACCCAATTAGTGATAGTAAGATTTCTAACTTAATTTAGGGATGTGGCCTTTTTTTCCTAAAAAACAAATAAGTAAAGACTCATTTGTTGTATAAATATACAATGTCTTGCCTTACCTTCTCTTATA